CAGTTTTATCCCAATCTACAGATGAGAAAACTGAGATTTAAACAGTTAAGTATTATGCTGCAGTACATGGCAAATAAATAATTGAGCTGAAATTTGAAGTTGAGTTCTGGCCTCAAAGTTCAAAATATTGAGGCTTCTCTGAAAAGGGAAAGCTACTATTTAAAAAATTTTCTCCACAACATTGTAAAATGATTATAAATCAATAAAAAGTGTTAAAAAAATTTTTTCTATCATTCAAGATCATTTACATTATATTTTCTCAGATTTAATCTTCATTATAACCCGCTAGGTATACTGAATTCAGTCTGTAATGTTTTTTACAGAAGCACCTCAGTTTTCCATTTTTTGTGTATGAGTAGATAAATAACTTTAAAAATATGCATATTTTATTTTTAAATGTATTTGAGTTCATACATTGAATTTCAGTATTGCAATACCAATTTTTTTTGTGGAAAAAAGCATACCTTTTGGTTTCCCAAGTGAGTCTATGTGTGGGGTAAAACTTCTGTTTGTAATTTAATATTTTTCTATTTTTGGTGCTATACCATTAGATGGCTTATTGGGAAGACATTTATTACATTTGATTATGCACATTGTGTTTTTGTCATTGCTACGATTTCTTTAAATTGCAATTCCCGTGTCAATAGGAAGACAAGAAGACATAAACAAGGAAGAGGGCTTCCTAATATTGGCTTGTCTGATCAGCTGCCAACACTCTAAATTGTTCAGTGTAAAACAGAAATTATTCTTGTAAGGTTAAGAGACTTATGGTAAGGATTTATTTTTATTCAACAGACTGTATTGACATTCACCTTATTTATTATGGGTTATGTTTATTGTGTGTTAGGTGCTTGGTAACCTTAATCCATGCCTGACATTCTTCCCAGCATATTATAGGTCCTCAGTTAGAGTTTAATGATAATGAATAATGAAATGACTTATAAAAGCCTTGAAACTTTGGAATAGATTTGCACCCTACTTTATAAATTATGAAACGTTTTCAAACTCTTGGATTTATGAAATGTTTAAAGCACATCTCCAAAACACTGTCCCTAAAATGAAAGCTTATTAAAGGGGGAAAATGGGGGAAACTAAAATACTGTATATCCCTTTTTAAAATCTTTTTTCGTAAGGAGGATATATATCCGTTATGCCATTTTTCTTTAATAAAGAACTCCTGAAACACTGTTTCAATTACTTTTATTTTTGGTACCGATTAGGTAGTTTTTTTAAAGGGTGTTAGCCTCGTGATATGAAAAATTGCTTTTGCATACTGTTTTTCATAGACTATTTCTCATTTAAATAAAAATATTTTGTGGGAACTAGAAATTTGGATTGAAAAGATAACTGTTGGGCCTCTAAGTGTTTTCTTTCCTTTGTCTCTTGTATTTATTAAATATTTCTTTTACTTGCTTTACACCCCTCTCCTCCACTTTCTTCAACATATTTGCTTATTTGCTCAGTCCTAGTGTATACATAAAGTAGTTTTGGAATTGCTAACACATACCCTTTTGAAAAATAAATTCATTAACTAGAGTACAATATTGTGTACAATTCTTTTTGTCTTTATCCTTACAAAATACTGTTTTCCAAAGTTATTTAGTTTTTTTTTTTCTCCTCTCCTACAGTGTGGCTACATTTTTTATCTGTAACAGAGCTAGGTTACTCTTAGCATTTTGTTTTGGGTTCCCTCCACATTCTGGTTGATTAGAACTTTTTATTTTTGAGGAGATTTTAAACATTACCATGGTTCTAAGAGTCAGAACTATGTGAAAGGGTATTCTCAGAAAGCTAGTCCCTTTTATCCCATTGCTGTTTCCTCCTACTAGCTCATTTCCACCTACTCCTTGTTAGGTAACCAATCTCATTAATTTTTAATTTCTTTCTCTTTCTTTTTGTATGGATGAGCAGATACATGCATATTTTCTCTTACCTTTCTTACAGAAAGGGTAGCCATGCTCTAGGTACTCTTTTGTGCTGTGATTTAATACTTTACCCTATTATATTATACCCTTATATATTAATAATATATCAAGTTTATTCCCTTAATATATCCAGGAATCACTTCTTACCAGTTCATAGAATGGTTCTAACTCTTTTTCACAGGTGCATAGTACCCCACTGCATAGATGTGCCATAGTCTATTCAACCATTTTCCTATGTCTAGCCATTCAAATTTTTTCCCAGTATTTTGCAATTAGGAACTGCTGCAATGAATAGATTTTAGTGTATATACTTTTGTGTTGTTGAGGTATATCATCAGGGTAAATTCACAAGAGCGGGATTGCTAGGTTAAAAGGTAAGTGCATATATATTATTGTTAGTTGTCACACATTTCCCTCCAGGAAAGTAGTATCTGTCTTCCCACCAGCCCTATGAGAGTACCCGGTTCCCACAGCCTTGCCAGCAAATGTGCTGTTATACTTTTTTATTATCTCCAGGTATTGCAAATTTAATGTACATTTCCACTGAACATCTTTTCATACATTCAAGGGCCATTTGTCTATCTTTGTTGTGCGCTTTACTTTAAAGGATTCTATCTTTTGCACATTTTGTTAGATTATTCACCTACAGTTTGCCAGGACAGTAGCACTTTATAGAAACAGACATTAAATATGGTTTTTCTCTTTCAGATCTTCCGTGGTGGCTTATTTTAATTCGGCAGAAAGCTTTGGTGGGCAAACTTCCAGGAGACCATGAGGTCTGTAAAGTTACCAAAATTGCTGTGCTATCACTTTCTGAAATGGAACCTCAGGATCTTGAACTAGAGGTAAGATGAAGTCTCAGGAAAGTTTAGGGAAACTTGGTATAGATTTAATAGCAAGTATGAGGATTTGCTTTAATAGACCAGAATCATATGATTTTAGAGCTGAGTAATCTTTAGAGTAATTTAGTCTTGTGATTTTCAAACTTCACTTTAGTAGTGGATCTTTTGTTTTAAAATCTGTGAAATCCAGTATATAAATAGATGCATAACATTAGAGCTGCTTTGGTTGAGGTGGTGATGGGGGAAGAAGGGTTCCTTGGGGCCCTGCCTGCCTGGCCTCTCCTGGAAATCCACCTTCTGCTTGTAGGGATCCCTAGGACTTTGCACAGCAGTTTGAAAGCTGATTTGGGGGAGGGGAGAGAGTCAAGGTGAGATTGAACTTTTACTATATCCTCTTTTACCTGTATTTCTTGACATTTTTCTAAGGCTATATTTTTTCGTAATTTTTTTTAAACAAAGTTTTTTGTTTTTTAAAAAAAGAAAACCACTGATCTAGTGAGACTTTTTCATTTTCCAAGAGGAAACCAGGCTCAAAAGTAGAGTGACTTAAGGCCAAGATAATGAGATTGCCCAGGGCCAGTGTTTGTCTCCACACCAGGTGCTGCCACCTCCTGGTAGAAGTAACCCATGAAAGCATTTGTATCCTCTCTGCAATCCGTGTGGGGACGTGGCATCACTCTTTGCAGGGATGTCATCACTCTGCCATAGTCCTAACCTATTTTGATCACTATGTGATGTGCCAGGCAGGCCCTCATGGTTAAATGGATTATCATATTTAATCCCTTGGACTACTGTATTAAAGTAGGCACAGTCACAATCCATATTGTGCAGGCGAAGAAAGAAGGCTTGGCAGAGGATTTACTTTACAGCTGGCATGTCCAGACCGGGACTCAGGCCGTCTGGTCCTGTATCACTAAACTGAGCTTGCTTCCCTGTTACCTGAACAGCAGAGGGTCCACTGACCCATAACTCAATATGTGTCTTTCTAGGCTGAGTTCTTGGGAAGGAAGTTTGGGACAGGGTTAAATTGTTTAAAAAACAGGCATACCTCAAAGATACTGTGGGTTCAGTTCCAGACCACTACAGTGAAGCAAATATCACAATAACATGAGTCACACGAATTTTTTGATTACCCAGTGCATATAAAAGTTATGTTCATCGTATACTGTAGTCTATTAAGTGTGCAAGAGCAATATGCTTAAAAATATAATGTACATACTTTAAAAATATATTGCTAAAAAATGCTAACCATCATCTAAGTTTTCAGTGAGTCATAATCTTATAGTAACATTAAAAGATCACCTATCACAGATCACCATAACAAATAATAATAAGGAAAAAGTTTGAAATCTTGTGAGAGTTACCAAAATGTGACAGAGACCTGAAGTGAGCAAATGCTGCTGAAAAAAATGGCACCAGAGTTGCCACAAACCTTCTATTTGTTTAAAAAAAGCAAAAAAGCAATATCTGTGAAGTGCAATAAAATGGGGATGTGCCTGTAAAAGTTATTTTTATGCTTCACATTTTATTGTAGGTTTGACAATTTAGCATTAAGAAGCATTACAGTGAACCTAGGAGGCTCCTTTTATTTGTTACAGTAATCAAAAGATCAGAGTACTTCATGTTGTCCTTTAATTGGTACTAGAGATAGACTACTACCCACGATTGCTGATCCTTAGATGACTTAGGTGGCATTGGGCCTATTAAAAGCAGGCGTTTGCAGTTTTGTTTGCTTTTTATTTAGCAAAGAGCAGCCAGACTAACAAAAATTGTATCAGTTTACTAAACCAATAAACTCGTCATTGGTGTCTTTTGGATGGTTGCTGACAAGGTCAACATGGCTTCCTGTCACCAACCTTTGCTTTGAGGGTGAGCACGCCTTGGGCAGCATTCTGGTTTGAGCATTAATCCTGAGGGCCCTGGCAGTTAGACTTAGATCAGGGACCAGCTCGTCCAGCACCTTGGTCACCTGTCAGTCATCAGTTTGCGCATCTGGCAACCCCAACCCTGGGGAAATGAACTGTCCTCATCCAGAGATGGTCAGGACTCTTGCTGGACTTTTCTGATGCCCTTCGTGGCCACCAATCTAGCATTTGAAATTAGTAGCTGACTACTGTATAAATGGGGTGGGGGGGGAAGATTAGGAAATGACATTTAGTGGAATTTTAAAATGTGAATATGATGAGAGCTTTACAAATGTCTGTATTCTGAAGACTTTTCCTTTTCTCTCTTGATACTCTCAAATGAAAGAGATTATCTGCAAATCAAAGTGAAAATGATATATTCCCCCACGTGACGTAGCTGAGTAATTTTACAGCACTGTTAAATGGCATGAGCTGCAGCATTTGCCAGTAGTACTAAAAGTATGTTAAGAATTGGAAATACGTAATGACCCTTACTAATTAGGGGTAAACGTGATTATAAAGAAAAAATTTCCCAGATCCCATTTTAGGGAGTAGTTTGGCATGCTTTTCTCGCTCAAGAAGATGATTTTAGATATTTGTATTTAAGCCTTTTTTCCCCTTCCTTTAATCCTATTTATGGTAATGCGGCTTTACAACAGTGAACAATAAGGGGGAGGGCAGAGTACAGCTATGTGGAAAATCACAACTGCTTGCTTATTTTCTGACATGTTAATTGAAATTTTTGATATCCTTATTTCAATTTCATATAACTGCATCTAAAAGGCACTTTTAGAAGCAGATAATTTTGGTTTTTTCCTTTTTGTTTTGTTTTGTTTTTTGATTATACAGTAAATTGTAACTGAGAAAGAGAAAAAAATACTCCTACTTAGAAATAATCACTGCCAGTATTCTGGTGAGTTTTAATGGTTGTTTCCATTTACCCCCAGCTCTTTGGAGGAGCGAAATTACTTTCAAATTTTCATAACAGTTCTTACTTTTTGCATCTTTGCGTATTTTTTTCCTATTTAACTCCTATTATTTTTCATGGCCATACACGTATTATGCTCATAAGACTTTTTTAAGCATAACTGGTTCTTATGTCTTCTTAGTATGTCTTTGTAATTTGGACGTCTGTGTTACTGGTTTGAATACCCACTGCTCTTATTCTTTCCCAGCAGGACCCGCGGGCTCTTTAGTGTGGTCACTGTTGTCAGATTTTCTAGGGCCTCAGCTGTCTTCTTGTCACTGGAGCAGAAGCACTTTTGTTTGACTTTGGAATTAACAGAATTTCTAGTTTTCTACCTCGGTTGACTTTTTAGTTCTGATATATGGCTTATTTGTTTGCCAGTTTTAAAAATAATTCTCATACTATACAGTTCACCCACTTAAAGCACATAATTCAGTGGTTTTTAGTATATTCAGAGTTTTGTAACCATCACCACAATCAGTTTTAGAACATTTTCATCATTCTAAAAAAAAAAAATCCTGTGCTCATTAGCAGTCAGTCCTCATTTCCCTCCAAACCCCAGGCAAATCCTAGGCAAACACTATTCTACTTTCTGTCTCTGTAAGTTTGCCTATTCTGAACATTTCTTATAGATAGTATCATACAATATGTGGCCTTCTGTGACTGGCTTCTTTTATTTGGCACAATGTTTTCAAGGTTCATGCTGTTGTAACGTGTCAGTACTTAGTTCCTTTTTATTCCATTGTATGGATATACCACATTTTATTTAATCCATTCCTCTGTTGATGGACATTTGGTAGTTTTCACTTTGGGGCTGTTATGAATAATACTGCTGTGAACATCTGTGTACAAGTTTCTGGTGGGCATTTGTTTTCGTTTCTCTTGGAAGGAAGAGAAATTCCATACATAGGAAGGAATTGCGGGGTCATAGAGTAACTCTGTGTTTAACCTATTAAGAAACTGCCAGACTATTTTTCAAAGCAGTGTGCCATTAGAAAAAAATCTGTACAAGGGGATGAAGAATCTGTGGAGTTCAAATAAATGAGAACATAGATGTTCTTTCTTTTGAAAAAAATCCTGTAAAGTTTTATATGCTTATGTTTCCTGTCTGCGTATCTTATTTGCTGTATCTCATTACCTTAATAGATAACTGCATCATTTTCCATATTTGGTTTCCCAGTAGACATCTGTTTAAAATTTTAGCTCCAGGTGGACATAGATAGATACCAACTTTTAAAGTAAAATCATTTATTTTCCTTAAACGACAGCAGCAACATCAGTTTTTAATCTTGGTTGTGAAACGTAAGTTGCTAGAATAGTAGAAAAACCAGGGGAGCACCGTGGTGCTTGTGGTGGTGGTTTTCTTTCTGAGACTGTGTGTATCAGTGTGTGATACGGGCCTAAGCACACATTACACAGGGCTGGCTGGGCTTCTGGAAGAGGGAAGATGATCCCACTGTCGACACAATGTTGTAATCCCAAGAGCTCTGTGTAAACAAAGCATTTTAGGACTGGAAGGGATCGAGCCTAAGAAGTAATTTTCTCCGTCCCTGTTTTTCGGTAGGACTGAATTTAAATTTACCTTTTAAAAAGGTAGTGGTCTGTGCTTTCTTTCTTTTTTTTTTTAAAGTTAACTATGTATATGGAAGATTCTAAAATATTACTTGAAAATGTTTATGTTTAAAGTAATTTTAAATTTCTATTTAGAAAAATCAGTTTTAAGAGACAGAGATTTCTAGATAAGATGTTGTAGTGAGTTTGTGCTTTGCTATCACAGATCCAGATCACAATCCTTATTTGGAAACTTTGGGGCCATATTTGTTTTAGAACTCAGGTTTGGGGGAATTTTCCGAAGGTTATTCCACATATTCTATATATGCCCAGTGAGTCTGGGACGTTACCGTCAATACAATACGTTCATACTTCTTAAAGAATCATGAATATTCATGCTAAAGAAGGTAAATGATGACTATAAATCACTTCATTATCAGTTCAGGGTTTATTTTATCAGTAAATGGACTTGTAACAAACTTTTAAAAACAGATTTCAGAGGTTTTTTTTGTTTGTTTGTTTTTTTGGAGCTGTTGATTAGGTAGTTAAGGGATGTTAGGCCTGTATCAACTCTGTTCCAAGCCCAGAAAAGAGGATAGAGGTACAAAGAGAAAGCAAAAGAAAAACAAACAAGTCATTGCCAGGCCTAGACAGAAGCAGCACCTTATCACCATAAATGGGATTGCGGGTCAGACTGAGGCCGTAGGCCTCCTGCGTTCTGGATCCAGAAGCAGGCAGTGGCAGGTGGAGATTTGGCCCCTGCACAGTGAAGGGAACACAAAGCGCTACGTTGGAGATGGAGGCCTGGAGCCGTGTTCAGTGTGTTAAGCCTGATGCTGGAGTGGGATTCTCCAGTTCATGGAAGGAGGCTGTTAGGTTGTCTGCTCTAAGTGGGATAATTGTGCATAAAATAATTTTCCTGTCTTTAAGTTAAGCCAGTAGAACCTCCCTGAGAAACACTGGTCTGGGCAAAAGATAAGGATCTGAATTAATACAATAAAAATCAACATGAAGTAGTTGGGTTGATAGGAGAGACTTTAGCAAGGAGAATAATGGAAGATGACTCTAAGGTTTCTTAAGTGATTGGGTGGGTACTGTAGTCATTGCCTGAGCGCGCATGTACCAGAGAAAGAGCAAGATTTGGGAAACAGACATTTGTCAGTTTTGGAGATGCTGAATTTGAGGGACTAGTGTGTCAGTAGTGGGGAGATGTTATATTTTTGGTTCATGAGCTCAGAGCAAAAGAGTGGAGTTAGAAATATGAAGCTAAACATAGTAGTAGTTAAAATGAGGAAAGAGGCTGAAATTTTCTAGGCAGAGCATTAAGGATGGGAAGAGAGCTAAGGACAGGACACTGGGAACCACTATCATGTTTAGAGATAGGAATGCCAGCAAAGAAGACAGAAAAGGAACAGTCAGAGGTTGGGGAAGAACCCAGCGAGACAGGTATCAAGGGACCAGAGGAAGAGACATCAGGGTGTAATCATTAGTGCCACATTCTTAGAAAGTTTGTCCTTTTCAGTCAGACTGTAGTCCTCACAGTTGCAGTGACTGTGACACTGTACCCTGCTAACTCACAGAGGAGATCTGGGTTTGAGGAATGGATTTTTAGAAAATTCTGGTAAACTTGGGCAGTGTTAAAAGGTGGTAGGAAAGGGGCTGTTAGAGAGAGAGAGGTTGGAACAGAGGAGAGAGGAGATGAATGATGGGGCAAGGTCCTGATCCTAGAGGAGACACAGCAGGAAACTAGCCCTACAGAGAAAAACGACCCCCATCCTGAGAGTCAGGAGAGTGTGGGTGCAGACTCGACATGCTGCTCCAAGATTGCTTCGAATAGCTGGGTATTCAGAATCATCTTTGATAGATTCCTAGGGGAAATTTTTGCTGATTTGAACGTTCTTAAGGAATAACTGTGTCTGACAAATGCATAATATCCTGTTTTGAATATTAAAATTGCAACAATCTATAACTAGGTTTGAGGCATGTTTTCAGTTTTTTTTAAAAAGCATTAAGAATATGACAATAATTATTAACATTCTATATAAAAAATCACTAACCAACAATTGCTCGGTGCTACAAGCAGAAGCAGCAGCAGGGAACTAACGAGAGCTCTACTACTCCAGTGACTGTTCTCTAACTTAGGTGGGGGTGTGTGAGGTGTATTCATGGTAGAAGGGGAGTGATGGTTTCCCAGGAGTACTTTTATGCCCCATGTGTGAATCTGGAGGTTACCGCTTACATTTGTAGCGTCAGAACCCATTCATTTGCTTAACAGGTGTTTTTTTTGAGACCTCCTATAACAAGTACTTCTAAGACCCTGGAGATTTGTGTGTCAATAAAAGATTTCTGCCATTTTAGAATTTACATTATAGTGGAGGGGGCCAGGTGATAAACATCAACATAATTATACTCTGTTGTATGTTGGAAAGCAATAAATGCTATGGGAAATAAAAGTTGAGCATAGTAAGATGGTGGGTGGAGTGCTGAAGGGTGGAGGTTATGGTAAGATACCTAGGGAGAGGGTGTCTGGGCAGAGAGAACAGCTAGGACAAAGGTCCTGGGGTAGAAGTAGTCCCGACATGTGAAGAGGCCGATGTGGGTGGAGTGGAGTAAGCAAGGGGAGGAATGGCGTAGGAGATGAAGGCAGTGAAGGGAGGATGAGGGTCTAGTTTTGCACATGTTGAGTGTGAGGTGCCTGATGGAAATCCAAGTGGAAATGTTGAGATTTCTGAGTCTAGAATTTTGGGAAGGAGTGGGGCTGGAAATATACAGCTGGGAGAGAAGTTTGGCATGTAGATAGTATTTGAAGCTGTGAGACTGGGTGGAATCTTTGAGGGAGTGAATGCAGATAGAGAAAGGGGTCAAGGACTGAACCCTGAGGTGTCAAGACATTAAGAAGTCAAATGGTTGGGAAGGAACCAGTAAAAAAGGTACACAGTGACCAGTGGAAGCCAAATAAGACAGTGTATCAGAAAGGATGGGGGAGAGATGAACTGTGTCAAATGCTACTGGGTGGTTAAGATAAGGACCAAGAATCCACCACTGCATTTAGTGAAGTGGAGGTCATTGTTCACGCTGAAGATAGATTTAGGTGGAGTGGTGGGGGCCAAAGCCAAGTTGGAGCGGGCTAGGGGGAGAGTGGGCGGAGAGGGTTTGGAGGCAATGAGGAGTACAAAGACCTAGGACCCTAGCTGGTGGAGGAAGTATGTAAGTGAAGGTGCTAGAGGAAAGATCAGTGTTTCTGTGTTGGTGGGAATGATCTGGCAGAAAGAGGAAGAGGAGAGAATTGCTGGAGCAGTGTCCACATGCTTGGTTCTTTCTCTTTCCCTTCATCTCAAATCTGGTTAGTTTTGCTTATTGGAAGGCAAATTAAGTTAGCTTGGTCTTGGCAGGATGACTGTAAATCTTTTTCACTTCACCTTTAGTTCCCTTGTCTTCACTGGTAGGGCTGGGGCAATGTAAAGTTGTAATCGTGCTGTGAAACCCATGTGAATAGAGTGATAGCCATAACTTTGAAAAGGCATAAAATCCGTTAAGATTGCGTTACATTTGATTGCCTAGTCCAGTTATCAGTCTTCACTTCCAGTTTTTTCTCCAGCTTTACTGAAGTATAATTGACGGAATTATCTACTTCTGAATTTGATAAAACAGAAAGGGCCCCCTTCTTTTTTTTAAAAAAAGAATTATAGTCAAAGCTTGAACTAGCATTTGTTCTCACTAAAATTTTTCATCTGGGTTATCATCTGCTAATAGTTACTTTGTAAGTAAAACACTACTAGTAATAAGCATTTAGTAATTGTTAGCTCTTAACAGGAATCTACCCCTTAGCGTAGCAATAAAACCAGTGTATTGAACAATGAGATTAGCCTGCACATGGTCAATAGAATTCTTGTGTGTTGAGCCACACGAAATTATGTGTAAAATGCTTGCCTCTAACCAGATAGTAATCTCTAGATCCTCTTAACACATTCTTGTCCTCTTCCTCACCTTTGTCAGTTGGACTACAATACACATTTCCTGCAGCCCCTACTTACTGCTTCTTCAAATTTAATCTCTGAACCCAGAGAGTATGTTTTTATTCTGATTTCATTAGTATGTGTGAGGCTAGAAGAGAAAGTGGTTGAAATGCCCAGCTTTTTAGATTCCCCATAGAGCAGACTGTTGACATCTTCTCACTCAAAACATGCAATTAACTAGCATGAATGTTTAGCACAGATTACTGTAAAGAAGTGTGCCTAAAACAGCAGATGTATATTTTGCAGTATTTTAAATCTTAGATGCTAATTTTTAAAGCACTAATAAACCTCAGCCAGAGCATTTTATTCTTCAATTATATTAGATAAGAACTTACTATAATTACGGTTCTAACCTGAAGTTTCTACCCCGAAATCCTAAGTATATCCTGCCCTGTATTCTTTGCTAATCCTCTACTGTAGCTTTTTAATCCTTGAAACCTCAGCTCTGTTTTCTAGTATCAATTGTCTACTTGATTATTTTGCCTGCTCGTGAGGTTTTACCCACAGTGCATGAGCATTAGCGGCGCTTCTGCGCTCATACTCGAACGTTTAACGAGATATTACTCATAATGAATTCTCCTTCTCTTCCTAATTATTTAGCTCTGTAAGAAGCATCATTTTGGAATTAACAAGCCAGAGAAGATTATACCATCTCCTGACGACTCAAAGTTTCTACTGAAGACCTTTACGCATATTAAATCCAATGTGTCTGCTCCTAATAAAAAGAAAGTAAGAGTTTAGTTGATATGGGCTTGAATTCACCTTTGATTAGTTTCAAATTAAGGGGTGATTTTTCTACTGGTAAACTTATTTTCCAACTACTTGTTATATTAAAGCACTGTCTCTGCATGTCCTTGGGATAATTTTCATTTTTCTCCTAAGGAGTTGTGTATTATCCACATGATGCTTTCCATTTAATTCCTGCAGTAACAGTAGATTAATTTCTTATAGGTTAAGGAAAGTAAGGAAAAGGAGAAGTTAGAGAGAAGATTACTTGAAGAGTTGCTGAAGATGTTCATGGACTCGGAATCCTTTTACTATAGCTTGACCTATGACCTGACCAATTCAGTGCAGAGGCAAAGCGCTGGGGAGAGGGACCCCCGTCCCCTCTGGCAAAAGGTACCTCTCATAGCTCAGAGCAGGGTTTGCCCCCAGAACAATTTATGGACCTGTTTGGCTTCTGTAGGAAAACTAAAACAACATGTTTCTAAACTGTTTATTCTGTCTTTTCCAGGTTGATGACCGATTTTTTTGGAATAAATACATGATACAGGATCTCACTGAGATTGGTGTGAGTAGTTGTTGCTAAAATATTCTAAGCTAGTTGTAGTTGTTAAGCAAATATTTTTAAATAGTACTAAAATAAAATTAAAATGTTACGTTAATGTTTTCCCCTATAGAATGGGAATCATTTAGCTAGGGAAAACCAAGTCACTGTTTTAAGGTATTTCACAATTCGACAGTTTGGCCACAGGCCTATGTTTTTAGCAGCTTCTCATAGGATAGTCCTAATTTAAGGCTGTGGAACTAATGTCCATAAGAGTTCCTGTAAAAGAGTTATTTTGTTTGTACCCATTGGAAATGTTGAAGCCCAGTTTTCCTTTAATGATGTCAGTCATTTAACTGTTCTGTTTCCTCATCTGGAAATTGGTGCAGACAGATCTCTAAGAACATTCCAGTACTGCCAGTATTTAAATCAGAGAAGACAAGGAATATGATGAGATTATTGCTTGAAGTTCCTTCTAGTTTAATATTTACCTTCCCCCTTTACTCTGCCCTGTATGTCGGAGAATTGTGACTGTCTAAGGACAATTCATTTATTCAGTCAATCAGCCAACATTTATGGAAAGCTGGCTATGTACCAGTTACTGTTTTGGACACAAATTGAGCAAGAAGCTGAATAAAGTCACAAATTATCTTTTCTTAACCTTTCAGAAAGTTGAAACTTTTTTCCTTTGTGTTTCTCCTTGGTGGTGGTTAGTATAAATGATTTTGACTTTTTTTGGTGGGGGTAGGTAATTAGGTTTACTTATTTATTTTTAGAGGAGGTACTAGAGATTAAGCCTAGGATCTCGTGCATGCTAAACATGCCCTCTACCACTTGAGCTGCACCCTGCCCCTCACCCTCATTTTGACTTCTTTATCTAGTGATGTCTAAAACTAAGTATCTATCATGCTTCTGAGAATGAGGCATGAAAATGTTCTCACCTCTTAATGATGCTGATCAAACCATGACCACCAAATCTCAATGACAGGGGAGGAAAAATAAGGGTGCTTATAATGAGTATTTGTTCTGTTTGCTGATGTCTTGAGCTCTACTATGTTTTGTAGAGTTTTTGTCAGGCACTTAGCAATACCATTTAAAACTGATGACTTACTGTAAAGGTAGCATTTGGCACTATACATTTTTGCTTCTTTCAAGAGTCTTACAGTTATTGCTAGAACAAAAATACGAATAATGAGAATGATGATAAGAATAATGAATGCAGATAAAGCCTTCACTGTTTTCAGTTCTAACCATCTTCCTAAGATCCTCTCTGCAGGCTCCATAAGATAAAACCATGAACAATATGGTTGTGGAAGAAGAGGTGGATTTGAAGTTAATACTGAGATTAAGGCTAGATAGAACTGCGGAGACAGGGGAGAAAGGAGGACTAAGAGCTCTTTTCATCCTGTACTGTCTCTGCGTGTAGTCAGTTGAGAAATCTGAGTATTCCTAATCTGAGAGACACAGAAGAGGAAATCTCTGACTTTAATTACTTCTCTCCTGATTATGTTGGATGGCTTTTTAAAGTAAGATATTTATGGAGAGGATTTTTTGTTTGGCGGTGAGGGGGATGGTTCACTTACTATTTGGATTTTAGCCTGGCAAAATCCAAGATTTTTTTCTAAAGTAGGAAATAGAATAGGCCTCTGTATTTCATAATAAAGTGATCAGAGTTGGTTGTATTTTATTAAAGGCTTAATACAGTTGGGAATTGAAAATCGACCTTTAAGCTTTGTTTTTTTCTAGGCCAACAAAAATACCATAATAGCTACATTTGTTAAATTTTTACTATAAGGCAGGCACTGTGCTAAATCCTTTTAGATTTTATGTGTTTCATCTTCACAACAACCTTATAAGGTAGTTTTTCTTCTTTCACGAAGCAGGACATCGAGAGGCATGGTATGGTTAAGTGATTCACCTCAGTGAGGGAGTAAGTGGTAGAGCTTCGATGTGCACTCTGCAGTCTGGCTTCTATGCTGTGGTGCCTCTCAGGCAGCTCCTTTTCAGTGACCACCATAAAAGTAAAGGAAAGACTTTCCCTTCACTCCTCTCCCTCCATTCCTTAATGTTCTCCAATAAACAGAAAATATGTTGCCCAATAAGCAGAAGATATGGTTAAAGGATGGAAGGTTTCTGCTTCTAATAAGCTGACAAGTATGTGATAGCTACTGTTAGGGTTTAAGGAAGTAGCAGTGCTGTACAGAATAGAAACAACATGATATTCATATTATTTTCAGACACCGGATGTGGACTTTTGGATTATTCCCATTATCCAAGGTTTTGTGCAGATTGAAGAACTTGTGGTTAATTATAATGAATCATCTGATGATGAAAAAAGCAGCCCAGAGACCCCCCCTCAGGAGTCTACCTGTGTAGATGACATTCACCCACGATTTCTTGTGGCTCTCATTTCACGCCGAAGTAGGCACAGAGCAGGTGAGTGGAGGCCTATTATAGTGTGCAAATCAAATCCAGATGAAAATGGAACATCTGCAGATGTATTGAAATGCTAATGACAATAATGGATTTGGAGACACAGTTGGCTTCAAAGTGCTCAGTGACTCTAATAGTGTCATGTAATTGGGGACCAATTTTTTGGAGAGAAGTGAATGGGGGAGAGTTAACAAAAGGAGAAAGAAAAGGAAATGTATATATTTGGAAAAGAGAAGAAAGTCACTTGGGATGTGCTTCGAAACACCATTGTTCCTACTGACAGCATGTATCACAGTAATAAATCCTTCCTGAGTGCTAGTACCTTTGGGAAAACCATTCTCTTTCAGTTCACAGGAACTATCTCAGCTTCAGCTTTTTAAAAACAATGGTGAGTTTTCACTTCGGCAGCACATGTACTAAAATTGGAATGATACAGAGAAGATTAGCATGGCCCCTGCACAAGGATGACACGCAAATTCGTGAAGAATTCCATATTTTTTATGTTCATGTATAACTGAAAGTTTGTGCTCTATACTGGAAATTGACACAACATTGTAAACTGACTATAACTCAGTAAAAAAAAAAATGGTGAATACAGGCATGATTTTGGGTAAGTTGATACTGTTCTGCCTGGCAGTTGCACGTTAGATCCCCAAGGCTATTCTAAAAGACACAGATTTGGTTAAGAAGCATATCTAGTCAGATTAAATAATTTTTTTTTAATGTTGCTGTTTTCTGTTTTAATTTTCTTTTAGGAATGCGTTATAAACGAAGAGGAGTGGATAAAAATGGAAATGTTGCAAATTATGTAGAAACTGAGCAATTAATTCATGTGCATAATCATACCTTGTCATTTATTCAAACACGAGGCTCTGTGCCTGTCTTTTGGAGCCAGGTTGGATATCGATATAATCCAAGGCCTCGGCTGGACAGAAGTAAGCCTGTCAATTATTGGGTTTGCAAACGATTTCAGAGGGGATGTTTTAAAAATACTTTATAGGTTTGGGTTCATTTTGCCAGATATATCATTTAAAGCAGTATCTCATTAGGTGAAATTTAATAGTGATGTAATAAAATCACAAAAATAATAATGGTTTTTGACAGTTTAAGTAATTAACAGTAAAAAAAATCCAAAATACAGCAAAACATAGCTTTTTCACAGATTTTAATTTGTTTCTTTGAAGAATACTTTATTACATGACTAATTTTGGTAAAGAGTAAATATAGCCAGTATTTGTAGAAGCAGGAACTTTTTAAAAATTTTTTTAAAATTTTTATTTATTTATTTGTTTGGGTTTTTTGGGAGAGAAGATAATTAGGTTCATTTATTTATTCACTTATTATTATTTTTAATGGAAGTACTGGGGATTGAACCCAGGACCTCGTGCATGCTAAGCATGTACTTTACCACTGAGCTATACGCTCCCCAAAGGAAATTTCTTAACGAGGCAGCATCTACAAAAAGTAGATAAAATGCCTTTAAATCAAATGTTTCACTGGGAAAGATTTGTTGTTTTAAATATTAAGGATTTAATTTCTTCCAGTATTTTAACTTTAGCACTGGAATAGCTGAGTCATGCCCACTAATTAGATTATTGAATGAGGCTGATTTTAAAAATTGTTCAGAATATTTTTCTCTCAAAACTTAATTTATATTTGTGAGAATTCAGTAAAACTTGAGTTTTTAATATCCTTGTTTTAAAGAGGGTTTTATTCATTTATTATAAACAACATGAAACGGTTTCTGACAAGTAGGCTGGATATATAAATAATAAATGTCATGGTTTCATGGTTGCCACATTCAGTATGTTTCAGTTAAGTCCACTTGGGGGAAAAGAAAGAAATTAGATCTTTGGCTTAGCATTTCATTTTAAAATACTGGTTTTAGACGATCTTAGTTACATTTGGGCTGTCAATAAATTATTTAAAAGTAAGAGTGAAGCTGGAATAGACACTAATTTCTGTATTAAACCTGGGAAGGAAAAATAGATTTTGTATCACTTCTTTGTAGGTGAAAAGGACACTGTTGCCTATTTCTGTGCCCATTTTGAAGAACAACTGAAAATTTACAAAAAACAGGTGGGATTTGATCTGTAGTAATAAAATGTTCCTTCATATTTTTAGAAATGGTTGTGTATCTGTTTCTTAAGTTTCATGAAATAACAATGTACAATTCATAATTAAGAAAAATGGCATTTGTCATGAAGTTAAAGGACACATATAAAGAATATTCTTTAAGAATTATCACTGAGTCAGCTTCTTTAGACTGTTTTTAGATGAGGTTAGTCTGCTGTCAGTTATTACAGTCTGAGAAGTATCTCGAGTAAGGTATGAATGACATCTCTCAGCAACACCTACAGCTCTACCTCTTTGAGATAACAGTTTGATATGTATCCTTCAGGATCTTTTTTTCCCTCTGCCCACCTTTCCCATGTATTCATACACTCATATGTAGGTATGTGAACATAGAAACCAAAATCAGTGGAGAACTGTTAGGTGAAATGCAAGTTCAATAAAATGACCAAATTTCCTATACAAGATTATAATAATCTGATTCTCTTATCCATTAGCAATGACCAGTCTGAAGGTATAATGCTATGGGATGCATTTTCCTAACAGCAACAAAAACAAAATAGGAATAAATAGCCTAAAATCTACTAAACATACAAAAAAGATATCAAATGTATTGAAGTGGTGGTGGGGGTGGTGGTTGGGATGGGGGAGTTACTGAAGAACACAAAAGAAAACTTGAGTAAATGGAGAGAAAATACCATGTTCCTGGAAGGAAATACTCAGTATTGAACAGATTTCAGTTCTTCCAAAATTATAATACACATTTTGTGCAATCCCAAAGAAGGTCCCAGCAGGAAAGCAAAAAGCAAACCCTCAGGCTGAAAAAAAAATATAAAGTTGATAATAAGAGAGAAGGGCGGGTAATTGGGGAAATGAGAACTTTCACACATCACTAGAGGGAGCATAAGTTGCTGTAGCCATTTTGAATGGTATTATCAGTCAAAATAAGGTATTCTTATACTGTTAATGCAGTAATTTGCTTTTTGATAGCTATCCTACATACCATATACAAAAACCAGTTCCAGATGGATGTGGGTCTAGATGTGAAAAGTTTATAAACAATAAGCCTTTGAGACGAAAATACAGAAAGAACATCTTTTGACCTTCAGTCTTAAGCAGGGCTTTAAACCATAATGAAAAAAATTGATTAAATGGATTTTACTAAATTTTTAATCTTACAACTTTATCATTTATTTATTGAAACTTTATTGAATTATCAAATATTTTGAGTATAAGATACTACTATAACTGTTATATTTATTAAAATGTTATATTAAAATGAAATAGGACTTAAAAAGCACCAACCATAATGAAAAAATTGATAAATTTGACTTCACTAAAATAAAGAACTTCTGACTATTAAAAGGCACCATTAAGAGGATGGAAAGGCAATTCACAAAGTGGGAGAATATATATATGATAAAGGACTCATATCTAGAGTATGTTAAAAACTATAAATCCATAAAAAAAAGATATACAGCCCAGAAGAAAACTGAACAAAAGACTTGAGCAGACTCTTCATGAAAAAGGGTGTTTAAAAGTCTGATAAACATGAAAAGGAGCTCTACTCCATAAGTCAGATGGGAAATGCAAACTCAAACCACCACTTACACACCAGAATGACTAAAATAAAAAAGATGGGAAGTGCAAGTTTTGTCAAGATTGTGGAGCATCTGGAACTCTAATACAAAAATAAATTTTTTTAATCTCCCTGAGAGAAGCATATGTTCAATCAGGGAGGCATCTATAAGAACATTAATTGCAGCATTTAAAAAAAAAAACCCTAATTGTTCATCAGGAGGTCACTGGGTAACTAAAGTACAGCAAGTCTAAAGTGTTGAATACAAATGGTTAAAAATGATGATGTTGATCTTTTCTGTGTTTACTAACGTGGAAGGATCTTAAAATCATACAGTGGAGTGAGGGAAGGACTGTAACAGCATATGGCATGTTGCCATTTTAAAAATCCTACAAAACCATGTCATTTATACATATGTAATTCTCTTCTACATTTATGTGTGTGTGCTTACTCATATATGGTATGCATATTTATATAGGAATGCACTTAGGTGGGCTGAAAGGCACACATCAGACTTGTAACAGGAATTACCTTCAGGGAAGGCTGCAGACTTGGTTGTGATCGGGAAGGATGTGACATTTATCCATGTTTGCATTTTTTATGATGTGAATAAATTTCATGTACTGGCAATAAGTGTAATTGTAAGTAACATTGTAGAGAGTAGACAACAATTTAAATGTAACACATAATCATTGTGAAAATTGAAGCAATACTAAGGTGTGTAAAGGCAGTCACCGTCCTTCCTGCTCCCTGTTGACTCTCAAGACCTGTTTATACACATCAACTTTATAGCTGTATGTACTGAGCAGACATTTGTTCCTTTCTAACAGTACCAGGAGTACTGTTTTGTCCACCCTGGGTAATTGCCCTCTGGGAGGTGGGCCCACGGTCGGTCTGACTCAGTCGTGGTGTCATTGCTACTGCTCTTGCCTGCGACTGACTTAGGTGTAGGCCTATGTTCAGTTAATTGGCAGTTTGGCCAGTGAAGTCTGATGTGAAGGGAAGTCTGCTAGGAGGCTTCTGGGAAAGATTTCCTGTTCTAATCAGAAGAAATACAAGAGCCAGTAGTCCCTTGGTGGTGGTTGTGTCTGAATTTGATTGGTGCTACTGCAGCTATGTCAAGGCTAGTTCATTAGCCTGAGAACTGACCAATATGAGGATGGTAGAACAAAAAAGGTGGAAAGAACTGATTTTGGTAACCACTGAATAAAGCAATTCTGGAACCATGCAACCTCCAGACTTCTGAGGTTCAGAACAGGCTTTTGTTCTGAGATTTGAGTCAATGATTTGTCCTTTGCAGCAAAAACATCTTGACACATGTATATGTATACATTCAAAATTTAAATCAAAAGAGGACTATACCATATACACTATTCTGCAACTGTTTTCACTTAATATCTCATGGC